GGTGGGTGAAGCCTAAGAGGGGTGGAGCCGAGGAGGGGGCGGAGCTGAGGAGGCACCTTACCTGCCATGGGCTTCACCTGCACCAGGTAGCCCAGGCTGCTCCCCTCCAACCCTCTCCACTTCATCTGCAGCCGGTCCTCTGGCAGCACGGCCAGCCTCAGGCGGGCACTTGCTGTAGAGGCAGGAGGTGGTCAGGGCTGACCCTCTTGGCCAGCAACCTCTTCTTTCACCTAGCCAGTCCTGGGGGCCCTCAGGGGCCTGCCCCGAGAGGTTGCAGGGAGACCAAGGCCCCTCGGGGTCGAGGAGGGCTGGCCAGTCAAACGTGGCAGGGCCCTGCTGGCAGCCTCAGAGGGAGGGAGTCAGGACTTCCCAGAGAAGCACTCCCACCCTGACAGAGACTTGGCCCCGTGTCCGGAAGGGCAGGACTGTCCTATTGGTGACCAGAGCACTGAGCCCACGCAGCAGCCACCATGGTCCCCCAGCCCCAGATCTGGCGCTGACACTGCACAGCTGCAGGCCCCAGCTGCAGGTCACTGCTGGCCAACATGCCACTCGGGGGGAGTTTGGGTAGAGAACTGCATGTGTGTGTGTGCGTGTCTGCGACTTGGTCTCGGGCCAGGGCCGACCCCTGCTGTGGGAAGACAGGATCCCTGGTTGTCTGCAAGGAGGAAAGGTACTGGGGGCCTGGGTCAGCCTCTAGGGGCCTCTGAAGAGTCAATGCTCCTGGGGCAGGGATGGATAGCTATTTTTGGAAAATGGGGACATAGAGGGTCTTGTGGCTGGCCCCTGAGAGCTGGGACAGGAAGGGCAGCGGCTGGGGTAGACACAGGGTCCATTCAGACCTGGAGGCAGCTGAGCGGATCTCCGGATGGCTGGGCTGCCCGGCTGAAAGGCAGGACTGTATTGGGTGACCGGGGGGCCTAGCCCGGATCACGAAGAGCCCTCTGTCTCTCTGTCTCCTCGTGTGGGGGCAGCACGGTCAGGGGCCTGGGGTAGCCAGCAGCAGAGGAAGGACTGCCCTGAGCGTGGGCCTCACCCTCCCTGCTAGACTCACACCCCCAGCCCCCTGGGGGCTCAGCGACCTGTGGCTTTGGAGTGCTGAGCCCTGAATGGAGGGTGGGACTTGGCTGTTTCTGTGTGTCATGTAGTGGCACGGGGCTCCCTTCCAGCTAACGCAGCCCACCAGGCCCCGTGGGGTCTCCCGTGGGAGCCCCCACAGCCACCAGCAGAGCAGAAGGCTGGCAGGTGGCCATGCCTGGGGCCTGGGCTGCAGGATGGTGCCCACAGCTCAGTGACAGGCAGCGTCACACCTTGGCAGGGCCGGGTGTGCGTCCACCTGCCCTTCACACTGACAAGGAACACATCACGCCGGGGATGCCCTGGTCAGCACGGGCACCTGGTGGGAACCCTGGGCCTCCTGGCGCTTCAGAGACACCAAAACTCAGCTCCCAGAATGGGTCAAAGTATCAGCCTGGGGGTGCTCACCACAGGGGCCCTGTCACCCCTTCGGGGCATTGCAGACAACCTGCCCTGTGTTAGCCCCGAAGGAAAGTTACTCAAATGCCCAAACGGGGTGGCCAGACTCAGGGTGGATGTGGCATGGTCGCCCGACTCCCGCTGAGGAGGACGCAGCGTGGGGTGTGCTGCAGCACCGGGAGGGCACCGGGCAGCCCAGCGCCCGCCAGCAGCAGGAGGTGTAGGTTTGGAAGCCCTCGCTGTAAGGGCCTGCGTGGCTGTGCGAGGCACGACCGAGAAGTGAGTGCAGCGTGCCCCACACGCGCACACCCAGGGCAAGGCTGGGAGGCCACAGGCCAAAGGACAAGCCTGAGCTGGGAGTGAAGACCCGGCGCCCCCTCCCGTCCTTGTGGCCAGAGCATGCTGTTCATTCTGTACGCCCCCGGCCCAGAGGGGAACAGCTACTGGGAAGGTCAAGACAGGACAACCCTGGGCAGGCTTGGAGATTGGGAGTCACCGTCTCCAGGACCCCCTGACCCAGCCTTACCTTGTCCCTGTCCAGGTCCCAGGACAGCACCCAGACACAGCCAGAGCCAGAGGCCAGGGTAGGGGTGGGCGCAGGAGCTCATGGTGCCAGCTGTGGAGGAGAGGCCACAGCCTTCAGCCACTCACCTGCCCATCCGCCCCTTCCAACCACAAGGCCAGAGTGACTCCATCCACAGCCTTGTGTCCACACCCCGAGGGCTGGGATCTGCGGTCCGGGGGCACCGTGCCCCCAGCCACCCAAGGCTCGAGGAGCCCTCATCCCACTGCCTCCCAGTATTCGTGTCCTGCTCACGGGCCCTCTGGCTGCGGGGCTGGGTGTTGCAGACCCTGTCTGAACACTGCACACGTGCTCAGCCCCTGCCAGCCCCAGCCCCAGGCCGGCAGCAGAGTGAGAGCTGAGAGCTGCCCAGGAGAGGAGGGCAGGCAGGTCTCAGGGTGCTGGGCCCGTCCCCTGGGCCGGGACGAGGACACAGGTGACTGCCAGAGGCCCTCAAAGGGTGAGGAGTCGAGGTCAGAGGCAGAGGCGGCTAGGCCGACCCAGGGGCCAGAGGTGACACTTGGAGACGCAGGGAGCAGGTGGGGTGAGACCTGCTGGCTGAAGCGACCGGAGTCCTCCAGCTGCCGGCAAGGTAGCCCGAGGTCTGCTGTGCCCTGATGCCCTTGCTGTACTGCTGCGGTCTCGGAGGTGACGCAGCTTCGTCTGGGCTGGTCCTCCCAGCCAGCGTCTGTGAGCGCTGCCTCCTCCCAGCCCCCCATCCCCCTGCTCCTCTCCTGCCCTAGGCACCTCTCCCAGGGATGCCCAGGGACATCCCCACCAGGGAGCCAGACTCCTCAGGGGAAGCCCCTGGCGAGCAGGAAGGCTGCTCGGCCCTGTGCTGAGTGCCCCCTCCCAGGAACTCTGGGCCAGAACTGAGCATCCAGAGGCAGGCCTGACCACGGAGAGCAGGTGGCAGCCCCTAGGCCTCCCAGGCCCCTAGCCCTGACCCCCACGGTAGAGCTGACCCCTCCCAAGGCCCAACCCCACAGCCCGCACACAGCCATCCTTCAGACGCCACGGCCCAGGGTGCTGAGACTCACGAAGGCCTTGGGGAGGCCAGGGCTTCTAGACCCCGGCCCTGCGCACCCTGGTCTTGCTGCCCCATGTCAGAGTCCAGCTCCCACCCTGAGCTTGCTGAAAGGCCAAAGTCACCCTCGGATCACAAACCTGAAGGCAGACCCGTGGGCCCTGCCCACCCAGCCCGGGGCTGCAGGCATCACCCACCTCCTGCTGGACAGCGTCCCCGCTCCCTGTGCTCTGGCCCACTCTGGCCCCACTATGGCTGCAGGGAGGTGGGGGCTTATGAGAGGGCCTTCTCATCACGTCACTACTCCCTCCCTTCCTCAGTCTCAGAGAGGGGACAGAGGTCCCAGCAGGGCGGACTCACAGGGAGCAGAGGGCCAGCCTCACAGAGGGCTTTCAGGAAGCCAACCCTCTGGGGGCAGCACCGAGACCCCCACTCCGAGACCCTCCCACATCTGCCCAGCTCATCGGGCACTGTTCTCGGTGCACCCTCCCCGTCCACCTGGTGGCCCCATGGCTGGCCCAACCACAGCTTTGGCAGATGTACAAGCCTGGAAAACAGGACCCCATCCTGGCTGGACCCGTCCACTCCAGATCCTGGCACGCATGAAGTGGATATCCGTCCAGTCCTGTTCCCCACCCCTAGCTCCAGGTCCCGCTGCCCAGCCCTGGCCTGGAGGCTACGAAGGGTCGCCCTGGGCACAAAAGGCCTGGCTGGCCTTTCTCCGGGACCACAGTCCTGGACACAGTGGGAAACCCACATCTGGCTGGCCTTTCCCCGGGACCACAGTCCTGGACACAGTGGGAAACCCACATCTCCCTGGGGCCTAGGAGTGGTAACGTCCTAAGGCCCCGTGGTCCCCTCACAGAGCCACCACTCAGCCCTAGGGACAGGACAGTACCCTGCACACCACACCTGGCTTCTCACCTGTCCAGAAGCGCTGCCCTGGGAGAGGATGCCACTGGGGCAGCTGCCCAGCTGGTGACAGCTCAGAAAGGGGAACCTCAACCGGGTATCTCCAAGCCACCCGTCCTGGTCTGACAGCCCTGAGCAGCCTCCGGGACTTGGGTAGGGGTGTCACACCACCCGCAAACACCCTCCCACCACCTGCCCCAGTGTGGGACTCCAAGGCTCATCCAGGCCTTCCAAGGCCTCTACCACCTCCAGAGCCATGGCCGCCCAGGTCCCAGGCAGGACCACTGGTCTCACCTTCCTGCCCCTCTGGCCAGGGTCACCACTCCCAAATGGAGTGCAGCTCGTGTGCCCAGCAGCTCGGGTCCTCGCCCCAGGGTCCTGCTGGCCTCACTCCATGTCCTCCGTTGGCACCTGCCTAGGACGCAGTGGCCCTCTGAGGCTCACAGGTGTGTATGGGGGTACCGTCTGGCCAGAGCCCCACACAGGGAGGGGCATGGCACACCCGGACACGCAGGGTGGTTGTCCCTCCCGAGGGCCTGCAGACCACTCCCAGCACGTGGCGGGCTTGGGCGGTGTGCTGAGCCCTGTCACCGACACCTCTTACTGTCCCCCTGGCCACCATGGGAGGCTGGGAGTAGGCCTCCCTGAAGGCAGGCCACGCCCCCACAGCCCAGCTGGGCACTGCTGTGGACATGCACGTACCACACAGCCCACGGCTGGCCCTCCCTGAACTACCCACACCAGGCCCAGAGCCCAGCAGACCATCCATTCTCTTTTCCTGGGGCCTCAACACCCTGGCCTGACCGTTGACCTCAGGGCTGCTGCTCCTGTGACCAGCCCTGCAGCCGAGGACATGCGTCAGGGGACATCGCCCTTCTCTTCTTAGTTAGTGATGACAAGTCCTGGCCTCCCAGGAGGGGTCCCCAAGCCCCGAGGCCCACCCTCTCCTGTGACCGCCCCGAGGGTGGGGACACTGCTGTGGCAGGGCGCGGGTACATCACAGACACACGGCACGAGGCGGCTTCAGGTGCATGCACTGCTGGTCACACGGAGGGTCAGAGGGTACAGGGAGGCTGGGGCCGGCAGGCGCTTGTGCCACAGGTGCATGGGCGCTCTGCACCGTCCAGCGCCGAGTCCAGGGAGACCCCGAGGGCAGACAGCAGGGCCGGAGGGCAGCACCCTGCTGCTGCTGAGCTCAGGACGGGCCCAGGGCAGGAAGCCGGCTGCTTCAGCCACCCAGGGCTGTGGGACAAGCAGAGTGCAGGGTCCAAGTCTTGGGGGTCGAACTGGTGCTGCCAGGGCGATGAAGGAAAAACCCCGTGGGGTGACGCGGAGACAGCATAGGCCAGGGCTGTGGCCCAGATGTGACGTTGGTGACAGAGGCGCTTCAGCACTGCCCTCGGCACCTCCACCTCCAACACCCTGTTTCCTTCCCCAGGAAAGACCTGGGACCTGGACAGTCACTAACACTTGAACAGACATCTGTGGGCACGAGTGGCCACCCGGCCCCGGCTTCTCGGAGTACTAGTCACAAGGCCTTGGCCTGGGGGCCCCAAGCCTGGCCCGAGCCTCAGAAGGTTGCTCAGAGTCCAGTGGGGTGCACAGGATGGCAAGCTGCCACCCCACACGGGCTGCTCCACACAGGCAGGGATGCCAGCCCCCCTCCCAAGCAGCCGTCTTCTCGCTGGGCTGTTTCTCGGGTCAGACGGGAGGAATGAGGGCAGAGTAACATGGCGGTTGCCCTGATGGCGCCTGGCCTGGGCGGGCTACCAGTTCTGGTTGTCCCAGCCCTCATCAGCGTTGGCAGAAGGCGGCGCAGGCTTCTTGGCAGCATCGGCCCCGCCCTCCCCGCCCTCGCTGTTGCTGTTCTTGTTGGAGGCCGAGCCCGAACCCCACACCTCCCAGCTGCCCGAGCTCCTCCTGTCTGTCGAGGCATCTGCACAGGTCCAGCTGTCGCTGCTTGGGGACCTGCGGGCCTTGGGGGGCTCAGTGCTCCCAAAGGTCTCCCAGAAGCTCTGGTCTATGGTGCTGCTCTGGAAGCCGTCCCCGCTGCTGTTCTGGTAACTATGTCCCTCCGGGGGTCTTGAAGAGAAAAAGGGGAGCTCTGAGCCAGTGGTGGGGGATCAGACACCTGCAAGGGGACACTCCCGGGCAGCCTGGCCTGCTTAGTTCTGGTCCTCAAGGCAGGGCACCCTCTCTGGGACCCCGCCTTGGGGGACATGCCTGGAGGGCCCTCCTGCCCCGGCTCACATCCCCCTCTATGGCACTTATGCCACTGGGAAACCGGACAGCAGGGCTTGCCCCACCTGGGAAACCTGCCGAGTCAGAGCCCACCCACAGCGCCCACGCCCGCCTCTCCACGGCCACTGTCCCAGCCACGCTAGGTCCTCGCGGTTGTCCTGGGGGGTCGGAGGGCGAGGCAGCCAGCAGAAGGCTAGGCACGGCAAGGCAGAGGAGGGGCGGGCCAGGACAGGTCTGAGGCCCCATACCCCCTGCCCTCATCAGGGAGCCAGAGGGAAAAGGCAGGGCCAGTCCCCGTGAAGGTCTGGGGGACTCTCCCTCCCACTGCAACTAGGCAGGGCAACTCTGTGGGGCTCCACAGAGCAGGACAGGGTAGGGACGTGTCTGTCTGGCTCTCAGGGAGCCCTGCACGGTGACCCCTAGCCCAACCCCAGCAGGGATCCTGTGGGGAGAGCAGGACAGGAGCACCACGGGCATGGGTGGGGCCGAAGCGACGTGGCACACCTACCTATCCAAGGAGCCCTCCGCTTTCCCAGAAAAAAAGGTGGTGACATCCCGCCACCCCTTACTGCCGACTCCCTGGACCTAGGAGTCAGAAAGAGACGCTGGCCAGGCTGGCGCCCACGGGGCGGGCAGCACCTGAGACGCGCCAGCACGGGCTGCCCAGAGCCCCCACCTAGAGACGCGGGCCCTCAGACACCGAGCACAGCTGGGCGGGAGGCGGGACAGCACCGCTCGTGTGCACAGCTACCCCCTGGCCCACAGGCAGGACAAGCCAGGGACGAAGCCCTCGGCCCCGGAGAGCTCGTGCCTGCACAGTGGGAGCAGGTAGAGGAGTGACAGGCTCCCTCCTGCCCAGGGAACCTCGGGCAGGAACAGATAGGCCTCGGTAGTGTTGGCACTTACCAAGGCAAAGACCACCGGCAGCATGGTGGGCAAAGAAGCGAGAGTTAGTGCAGGCGTGTCCCCCCCGGCCGTTTCCACACTCCCCAAGCTGCCGGGCACCCAGCACCTTCGCACTCACACCTGAGCACTGCGGCTGTGGCCAAGGCCCTGCCCTGCTGGGGTGCCCGATGCCAGTGCGGAGTATGGAGACTGGCTGTGTTGTACCCGCCGCCAGGCAGGGCAGCCCTACCTTGGACGCCAGCTGAGACACCCCACTGGACACGTCGTCAAAAAGCCTCCCTTCCTTCACCTGTGTGGGTCAGGGCGGCATCCACAGGTGAGGCGTGCTGACCTGGCACACGCCACAGCCAGGCCGCTAGGTGACCCCCGCCGGCAGCGAGACCATTGCTGTGAGGCCTAGGACTGCTCTGGGTGCCACCACCCAGTGACCACGCCACCTGCAGGTAACCTCCCTTCCCGAGGGGCAGCCCGGTGCAGCCTCTCTGCTGTGAAGGGTGGAGGGGCCTTGGCACTACGAGCCCAGGCTGGCCTCCCCAGTGGGCTGGCACCGCCCTAGGCCTGAGCCTCGGGTGCACAGGGACCCTGAACAGGAGAGGGGCACATGGGGAAAGCTGAGGGGTGCTAATCACAGGGATGCCAGCGCTGGCCAGCATGCAGCCCAGGCCAGGCCTCGCAGCCAGTGCTGCCCGGGGGTGATGCCCCGCCTGCCCCAAGCCGGTGCTGCCCTCACCTTTTCCTGGGCAGGTCTGAGAACGTGGTCATTCAGGCTGTGGCCCAGCTCAGAAGCCTGTGGGAAGGCAATCGACGTGAGCTCCCAGGGCCACTGCCGTTGGACATGCAGGGTGCGGCCAGCAGATGGCAGTGAGATGGTGCGTGCAGGGGGAGCAGGCCGGGCAGGGGACACCCCGAGAGGGCAGAGCCATGGCTGGCTCTCGAGATCCTGCCACGGAAGACCCTACGCTCTGTCCTTGTGGACTAGGGCTCTCACCCACTGGCCGGCAGCCCACGCTGGCTGCGGCCCTCCTCGTCCCTACCCTAGAGTAGGCACCTGGCCTGGCCTGGAGGTGGCACGAGGGATCCTCTCCTGCGCTCAGCACAGACAGGGGCCTCCCCGTCCCAGGGATGAAGGTCCTCGGGGCCAGAACAGAAGCGAAAGCCCCAAGTCCCTGGCCCAGAACATCCAGAGGCAGCAGCCAGATCTGGGTCTGAAAGGAGAGCTATCCCCCCGTGTCCAGCACCCAACAGGCCAGGGACAGGGTCTGAGCTAAGCACACGTCACATGGCATGGGGCAGGTCACAAGCATGGGGCAGGTGTGTTTCCGCAGGGACGAGGGTGACATGCATGGCACACGGCACACGTGGCATTACCGGCTCCGGCTGCTGCTTGTGACCCCAGAACTGTGGCGGCCAGGAGGCAGGGGAGAGAGGAGGCTGTGGGCCACTCTGAGTAGCCAGGGACTGCTCGCGATGGCGCTGAGCCCGGGGCCAGCCTGCTGTGCTGAGCCTGCCACTCCCTGTCCGCACTTCCCCAGCACCCAGGAGCAAGTGGAGCAGCCTGCAAGGGCCAGCTGCCTCTCGCGGGCAAGGGAGCCCCGTCCCAAACGCCCATCCATGCACGGTGCCTGGGCGGCCCCAAGCACCTGAGGACAGCCCGACCTGGGTCCTAACAGCCAGGCTAGGAAGCTTCGAAGAGAGGTGCCAAGGCTGGGCCGACCAGGCAATTTCCAGAGTTCCGCCACCCCCCG